CCCCCGTAGCCCGCAGCACCTGCCTGTGCTGCTGTCACTTTGGGAGTTTGTGTCCCCTGCAGGAGGCAGCGGCAGCGGTGCTTGCGGCGGCGTGTTCGGTCCACTGGGTGCGGACGGGTGGCCGGTCTCGCCGTGGGCCCATGTGGGGAACGGCGGCGGCGGCAGCAGCAGCGGCGAGGCGCTAGGAGACGCGCGGGGCGGCGGCGCGGCTGGGGTGGAAGGAGGGGAGGCGGGCTCGGAAGATGGCGAGGGGTGCATCAGCGGCAGCGCCTCTGACGAGGAGGCAGCTGCGGACGAGGAGTTCAATGATGAAGATGAAGAGGACTGGCAGATCGAGGTCTGCGAGGCCCTCGAGCCGCTGCTGCGCGCGCTCTCGGCCGCGCTCGGGCCGCCGCCGGCTGCGGTCGCGGCGCGGGGCCGTGCGCTGGTGCGGGCCGTTACTGGGGAGCCTTCTGCGGCAGCAGCCGCCGTCGCGGTGGAGGGTACCGGGGGCGGCGCGGGCGGCAGGGGCGAGGAGACTGCCGCCGCGGATCGGGCCGAGAAGGGAGGTGAGGTGGGCGACGGCGCAGGCAGCGACAAGGACGAGCCCATGCCAGACGCCGCAGAGGAAGGAGGGGCTGCCGCCGCCGCAGCCGCCGCCGCGGCCGCGGAGGCCGCCACACGTGCTGCGGCACAAGAGGCGGCCGACGTGGCGGCTGCGGCTGCGGCTGAGGCGGCGGCGGCGGCGAGTGAGCTGCGGCGCCGGGAGGAGGAGGACATCCGTGTGGCGGCAGACGCGGGCGCGCTGGCACCTCTGCTCAGGTGATGGTCCGGTTGCGCGCCTCGTGCAGGCCTTCACAGCCTCCTTGCACTGGCATGTGAAAAGTCTTGGCGCCTGCTCGGCAGCCAGCGCCCCGCCTTCTGCTGGCGTTGTCAAAGCCGGCTGCCTATGACCCAGGGCCGAGTCAGGCTTCCATACCCAAGGCCTCCATACCAGAGCCCCAAAAATTTTTTTTTACCCAGCACGTTGAACCCTGGCCAAACCCGCACACCGCCTTGCTTGCTGCGCCCCCTCAACCCTCACAGTTGGTCCGACGCTGACGAGGCTTGGCTCCGCGCGGCAGACCCCGAGCACTGGCGGCTGCGGCGCCACCTGTACACCGCGCTCGACCGCCTGCCGGAGCCGCGGGCTGCCGGCGGCGGCGCGGCGGCGGCGGTGGTGGGAGGGCGGGAGCTGACAGTGTCGGGCGTAATGGCGGCTGCGCCGCATGAAATCACTGGACTGGTGGGTTGGTTGGTCAGCAGTCGGTTTGGAGGGCTGCATGATTCTGTTGGTGTCGCCCCCGGGTTGCTGCTGTTTTGCGTCGATGGCATCAGGTGTGCAGAAACAGGGGGGGCACGGCGCCGCCCCTACTGTGTGTCTGCGCGCCTGCGCGCCGAGCAGCGGTACGATCCACCCTGTACCTCACCCCACCGCAACGGCTGACAGCCGCCCTGCCGGCGGCCGGCTCTTCGAGTAAGCAAATCAGCCACAGCTGAATTTGGGCTAAAAATAGCACGCATCGGCTCACGTGCGGCGTTCGTGCCGTGTCCCCACCAGATCTCTGCGCGCGTGGAGGCGCTGGCGGGCGCGGCCTGCCTGGACCTGGCGTACTGCCCGTGGCGGGCCAGCAGCTGGGAGGCGGTGGCGCTGGTGCACACGCTGGTGGGCGGGGGTGGGGTGTGTGTGGGAGGGAGCGTGTGTGGGTGGGTGTACGGGAGTGAATGTGTGTGTGTGTGTGTGTGTGTGTGTGTGTGTGTGTGTGTGTGTGTGTGTGTGTGTGTGCGCGCTTGCGTGTGTGCAAGCAGAGAAGGTTTGTTCTGACACAATGAGCTGTTGTTTGGACTGTTGTGGGGGGGAGGAGAGGCTATATCAAATCACCCCCGGGAGCGCCCTGACCCTGTGGGATGCGGCCGTCCTTGCCGCATCCCATGAATGCCCCACATCGCCTCGGCGCCCACAAATCTCAGATCGTAGACCTATTGCTGGAGGTCGCCGCACGCACGTGCGGCCCCCCGCCGCCGCCTCCTACCACCGCCGACGCCGCCGCTGCGGAAGCCGAGGCGCCCGCCCCCTGGCGCCTCGCACGCCCCGAGCTTGCCGCGTGCCTGGAGCGCCACCGCTCCGCCGCGCTGCGCGCTTACGCGGCCGCTGCCGCCGCGGCGGCCGCGGCGGGGGCGGCAACGCAGGAACCGGAGCGGCTCGCGCGTCTTCATGACGGGGTGGCGGCCATCGCTTGGACGCGCCTCGACGCGGCGCCGCCGGACTGCGACCCGTGGCGGCGCCCGCCGCCGCGCGGGCCGCGGCAGCCGGCGTGGCGCGCGGCCGCGCAGGTGGGCGCTCGCCGTCTGATGGGGCTCGCGAATGCGTCGCTCGCGGCGCCGAACCTCGGCCGCTGGGGCCGATGCGGCGCCGGCCCCTGCATTTGTTTTGGAAAGTCAATCATTGAGGCAGGTTATGCGGCCAGTCAAAGAGTGCAGGGATCTGGCAGACACACGGGCACCAGGCAGAGCTGCGGCAATTGACCTCCTGTGTCCGCCGTGGCTGGTTCGCTGCTTTCAACCTTGCCCGCAGGCCCGCACGGAGGCGAGTCGCGCGCTACAGCCTGACAGCTGGCATCAGCCCTTCGACCTCGGACGGCTCGCGGCCGACGCGCGCGCCCCCGGCTGGCGCGCCGCAGCGCTGTCGCTCTTCGCATCCGCCTGCCGCCTGGCCGCCGCCGAGCAGGGGGGTGGTCTTCTGCTGCCCCTTGCGGAGCTGCACGGCTGCCGGCTTGGGTGGGTCGCCGAGGCCGCGGCCGCGCTGCGGGGCGGCGGCGGCGGCGGCGGCGATGGCAACGGCGGCAGCACCGCCGCAGAGGAGTTGCTGCGCCTCGCGGCACGCCACTGCTTCACCCAAGACGCCGCAGAGCGCCTGGCGCGCCTGCCGGCCGGCGACGGCCGCCCGCGCGCCGCCGCCGCTGGGGCCGACAGCCGCACAGGCGCTCTCGGGGACGCGGCGCCGGCGCCGGCGGCAGGGTGGGCGGCGGCGGCAGCAGTCCTGGAGGCGGACTGCTGTGCTGCGCTGCGGTTCTGCCAGGAGCGGTACGCGGCGCCAGGGCAGCTGCACACGGCTGCATACTACCTGGCGCACAGCCCGGCGCTGATGGGCAGGTGAGATTGCAGTGCATTTGTGTGACATGTCTCTGAGCGGATTGCGTATTGTTGGTGTTGTGTGCGCAAGCGAGTGCAGCAATGTGTTTGTGTGTGTGTGTGTGTGTGTGTGTGTGTGTGTGTGTGTGTGTGTGTGTAAAAGGGGGTTGTGGGGGCAAAAACGAGAGAGAGAGAGAGAGAGAGAGACACGGAGCGAGAGACAGAGCGTGTATGTTTGCATGTGTGCCCCAGGGTGCGACTGGCGCATCTCGGGTGCCACGCATGGATGCGTCGCACCCGAGATGTAAAGGGTGTTGTGGGGCCAGGTGATGCCATCAGTTGATGCAGGCTGGGCCGCCGCAAGTTCTTTGTCTGCCATCGGGTCGGCAGTGTGTTGAGGCAGGGCGCGCAGGGGCGCGCAAGCCTGCAGGTGGCGCCGCGTCCATGCTGCAACAGCTGCTGGCCGCCCTGCCTTGCCGCGCGAAGCGCGCGCGCCCCTTCTCGGCCGCCCCGCATAGCAGCAACACGGTAGCGCCTCCCCTCACAACAACAACGATGACGCCGCGCAGGCACCAGGAGGCGATGGCGCAGCTTTGCAAGGCCTTCCGGGCCCGCGGCGCCTGCCAGCTGGCGCACCTCCCGCCGCCGCTCGTGAGCGA